CTCTCACAGCGACCCGGGCTCTATAGATACTGTCATGTCAGCCAGGAGGTGCGCGCACATTCATGTGAGAACTATGTGTCATGTACTTGCAAGCACAAAGCTCCCAGATGTCACAAACACTCTGCATGCTCTCACATGTTCATCCCAAGAGGGGCTTCTGTCACCTTGGCTACGCCCTGCAAGGATGGCTATGTTGGCGCAGGCCTGAACTTAACTGAGTAACATGTTAAGTTGGGAATACCGTGACAGTCCCCCATAGAGAGTAGGAGTTTAGCCTCCGTGTGGTTCTAGTACAGCTTAGGATAATCAGGGGTAGGATCTCATGCGTTTCAACCACTAAAATAACACTTCTTATTTGTCAGGTCTAGCCGCATGCTTGACCAACCTTCAAGGAATCTTAGTTTTTCGGGCATTGAAGAAGAGCCGGTGGAATCGGGTCTAAGTTTTGAGATCCTAGGGGAAGGGGGTTGTTATAAGTTGTGTAGACCAGGTTTCTGGATTTGCGGTCTTCATGACTTACTGTCGCTACTAGGGAATGAGAGAATAGATTCCCTATATCGTCCCTATAAAACATTCCCTTATTTCCTACTAGCCCCAGTATGTTGAAATGCCGTGTGCGCAGGATCGAGAGGCTACGGGGTGACAGAGGGTTGGGCTCAAGCCTTGGGCAGTGCGAGAGCCTGATTCATTCTTGATTCCTATCATGTGAGCTAGAGTCTAAACTAATTAAAGGGGGGTTATATAGGGGTTACTATAGGGGACTATTATAGGGGACTTTTGTAGGGGTTATTAAGGGGGATACAAGGAGTGGGAAGGAAATGAAATGATAGAGTGGGTATTCAGGGGCTTTCATGGAATGAGCGCCTAAGACCAAAGCCTGACTGCCTGAAGAGATCCATCCCGTAATTCCTGGCTAAGCATCCCAGGGCTACAAACTTAACCCTAAACCCCAAAATCACCCAAAACCTCTAAACCCTAAACCCCTAAATCCTAAACCCTACATCCCTCAATCCCTAAACCCCTAAACCCCATATCATGTGTCCAAAAACTGCTATAAGCTCTGCATGATGAGTGTGACGTACCTGGCTCCGGGCCAGCCCTTGGGACATCCTCTGGGCTGCGCAGATTGACAGAAGCAGAAATAGCAAAGGTAAAAGTAGAAGTAGACAGTTATCTCTTCCTTCCATACACAGCACCTACTACCCCTGGGTTCGCCCTCATTTAGACATAATCAGGGCGAGTTGTCGCAAATTAAGCCGGAACCTTGGGTGTAGTAGGAGAACCTTCTCCCACCCTAAAAACTAGACCCTAAACCCCTAATCTCCTAAACCTTTTAAACCTAAACCCCTACACCCGAAACCCTAAACCCTTAAATACATGAATGATGCAGGCCACATCGTCTGCGTCCTCGCATGCCATCCCAGGGGGTTCGCCTCTGAGGCCACTTCTTTACAAAGAGAAGAAGGGTTTAGGGTCTAGGTTTCAAGGTTTAGGGGTTTAGCGTGTAGGTGTGGGTTCAGGGTTTAGACCTTGGGGTTCAGGGAGTTAGGGTTTCGCGAATTGTCAACATCCAAGTCGCTCGAGTTGGGTGGCATGGGCGTGGCAGGCCAGACGTAAAACGGCCTAGGCTGTAGGGTTTAGGGCTCAAGGCTTAGGGTGTAGAGTTTAGGGCATAGCGCTTATGGCTTAAGGCTCTCGGGCTTAAGAAAAAAAGAGTGCCCGATAGGGCTTACGGCTCTCACAGGAGAAGATGATTATTTTAAATTGGAGAGTAAACGGGGCAAGACCCTGCCATGGACAATGAAATGGAACATAGGTTTACAACATGAGGCTGTATGTAGTGGTTGTGAATGGGGCCATCATAAGTATATGAATGTTACAACAAGTGGAATCGATTCTGAGTTATTCAGTCTTCAGTTTTCTACTTGATCCTACCCTAAAACCTAAACCGTAAGCCCTAGTCAAAATCAGGTCGTGCTCAATCAAGGCCATCCTTCGCAGGGGTAGGTTTGAATGCATCTTTTGTCTGAATTTTATTGCCCGTCCTAATCCCGATATAATCCTTGTGAAACCATAAAAACTTGGTTTTTATACCCCCAAGCCTACCCTACTTCTGACAAGTACCCGTATGGCTCAAGAGCAGCTTTGTGATCCCTACGCACCAGCATTTGAATAGCCCCGAAATCAGGTCAGAGAACAGACACGAGGCTTAAGGGTCATTCTGGGTAATCGCCGCCCTGAGACTCAGTATGGTGGACCCCTATATAGACCCCCAAGTACCCAAATCCTTTTTGTAGGGACCCCCCCCCAAATGGACCCTGATTTCGGAAAACCCTCGTATGTTCAGGCTTCCTCGGATGGGGTGGTCCACGTGAGCCCCTAGTTTGCACTACTGTTACTAGCTGCTGTTGAGGCAAGAAATCCTGCATAACCGAACAACATTAAAGCCCAGAAGGTATGGTAGTTTTCACTAAAGCCTAGAAGGTATGGTAGTTTTCATTAAAGCCTAGAGGGTATGGTAGTTTAGCAAGGCTGGGCAGGATTGATAGCATCGACTTTGCAGAGGGTTGAGGGTTTAGGCTACCAGCCCCTTCGTCGAGCTCACAGGCAGCCATTCGTAAGACATGCACAGCCCCACTTACAGTTACCTGCGACCTTCCAAGTGGCCAGTCACCCCACGCTGGATTCAGATTGCAGCTCATGAGCCCTTTTGGTAGGCATGAGAGGAAGCTGCTCATGTCTGGTCTCATCGAAAGTAAGTGGTCTGAATTTGAAGTCCTTACAGAATCGGATACAATCACCATTACAAAGCAGTACCTACTATCTCTTCTGAGCACAAGGGAAGTCTTGAGCAACTGCAACAGTCTTGTCGGAACTCCCAAAATGGGAACCCCTAACAAAGAGTAGGAATAATCGGAATACTACTAGGGTCCTTATATACTGATTCTATTCCTACCATATTCCTGGGGTTCTCATTAAACTCATTTTGCCCTTTGTGTGGTCAGAAAATCCGGGTTGATTTCTGTCCTTCAGCAGGAGTCGGCTACATGCAAGGGTCCCAATCTCGACCTACTATCCGCAGGTGTTGAATGACATTATGTGCCAAGGTCAATGCCAGCCGCTTCCTTTTCAGGCCTTCCTGAGTTCTAGCATTTCCGGTTGAGCAGTATAGATTCATTTTGAGAGGATTAGGACGTTTGAGACCTAAAGCCCTGGTGCAATAGCCCTCATTAAACGAAGCTATCCCCTCCCCTACTATTAAACCCCCCCCCACCCCCCCTAATATTAAGTATTCCCAATATGTGGTTAAATTATGGTATATTGGGAGTTTTTTAATATTAGGGGGTGCGTGTTTATCATTAGGGCGAGGGGATTAGAACTGGGATAGGAGGTACAGCCTGCATGGGTTTCAAAGATCTTCCCTGCTTCAGATCCTGGATCCTGAGCTGTTTAGGGTTTGAGGGTTTAGGAGTTGGAGCAGCCATCCAAGCAACGCAGCCGTGCGCCTGCCATGGCGTTCAGGATTTAGACTCGACCGCAAGTTTAGGTGTCAGCTGCTCAATCAGGAAAGCCCAGGAAGCGATGCCTCCATGCGGGCAAGGGCATCATGCACAATGTCATGTTGTAGGAACTTGCCTGATGGCTGCGTATGACGTATGACCTGCAATTTGTTGAGTTGCGAAAGCTAGGCAAGCAAAAGCATACAATCCCAGCCTAGCACCCCGTAGAGGAACTCCGGGGAGCGTGATCGTTTCGCTTAGGCTCAGCTGTCAACGGCAGAACACCAAGCCGCACTCAACGATAACCCCGCAGATGCATGCTTCCCCATATTTCTCAACCCTAATCAAGGTCAGGCTGTTTCCTGAAAAACGTGAGGGCTACGAGCTTCACCAAATTACTTTGGAATGCAGCCGAAGGTCAGACAAGTTGAAGTTCCGCCAAATCAACTACCAGACTCACAGATCCCAACACGTGAAACAGAAAAGTCCTGTACTAGCTTTACTGACGACGCCAAAGTGGTAGTTAATCAAATTCCTGTTTCCAAGATGCCCATTATGAATGAATATCCCCCATACCTTTCTTCATGGAGCTACAGCCCAGGTCCTTAAGTAATTTCCCCAACGGACGCTTAGATCAACCCCCTGTCATGGCCCATAGAAATGAAGGGCTCTCCAAAGTGGTTTTAACATACCCTGTATTTTTCTTACCTTTAGGCCCTATATAATCCATGAGAAGACCACTTTTATAGGGCCCTAAACCTTAGACCCTAAACCCTACAGAAACCGATACCCAAAAAACCCTAGAGAAACCCCAAGCCCCTACTCTAGCCTTGTCTGCCTGGAGGCCATCACCGATGATGCTGGACAGGCCAAGATCTGCTTTCTGCCAGCAGCGCTGAACAAAGTGCAGGTGCCGGGGAGGTAATAATGGTAGTAACAATAATATGAAGAATGATCAGAATATAGTAATAGTAGTGACAGTAATAATATGAACAGCAGTCAATGCTAAAAGCAACAATCGGTTTCAGATTTTGGGATTGATTTTGGGGAGGCTTAGGCTTCAAACGCCGAAGTTTGGGACTTCCTCCCCACAACGAAGAGAATTCCAAGAATAAATTTGACCAGTAAGCCCCAAACCTTAAACCCTACAGTGCGAGCGTGAGTTGAGAACCCCAAGCCCGCCAAGCCCTAAACTGAGAAGCCTCTCCCTGTTGAGACCTTGCGAAGCTATATGGGGGTTTCCCAAACTCATGGGTACTTTTTTCGGGATCTCTATGATAAGGATTATAGTATTTGGGGGTCTGAATTGGGGTCTCCCTATGTAGGAAAATTACCATGTGGTCATGCAAGTGGCAAGCCCAGTGCATGCCAGGTGGCGGAGACGGACTTCTTTCATGGTACTGAGGCCTGCGCTGGAGACCCATCAAAAATTAGGAGCCCTTTAAAGGGGCTACACGGCTACAGGGGTTGTTTGGGCTTCCGTCTTAGGGTTGTGTAGGGACATATAAGTGTTTGGAGTCCAGGGTTTGCTTGTTAGTTAGGAAACTGGGATATTTTGATGGGTTTTATGTGGATTAGGGTTTCCAATCATTCGGGTCCTTTCTGGGGTGGGTCCTATAAAAATACCAAGACCCTCCCATGTAGTACATTTTTGGGTGGTCTTAATAAGAATCCTAACCAACATCCATACCAAACCCAAAAAGGAAGTACATTGGATGGTCCAGGCAAGTCATTATAGTATTTGGGTTCATCTTGGGCGCCCATCTTTATTGAAGCCCTTAAATAATGTTTGTCATTCTAAAAGTAGACAGAATGAGGAATGTCTGAACCACCAACTCGCTCATTCCATTTCTAACCTAGAAGTCCTGGAAACCAGAGCTTAGGGACCTACACTTCTGTGTTCTCGTCCATTGCCTTTGCTTTTGGGATGCTAAGCTTGGGTCATGAGATCGAATTCAGTAGACAATGAAGTCGAAAACAAAATTCTAATCCCCCCAGACATGAAAAGTCTAGAGCTACATGCGAGCAGGTCTCTCTTCTGGGGACTGACCTGAAGAGCTTGGACCAGGGTCTCACCGACCTCACCGTGAAACTCCTGCCAAAGGCAGGCCAAGGATGTGGGCTAGGGCTTCGGGGTTTTTGGTTAGCATTTCTTTTTTGGGGGGTTCAGGGGGGAGGGGAGGCGGAGGGGGGGCTTGAAGATTTACAGGTTAGGGTTGAGGAGGATTTGGGGCTCAGGCTTCACGATGTGGGTCTTTTGGTCGAGGAGGCTTGGGGCTTAGCGTTGAAGATTTAGAGCTTAGGGCGGAGGATTTGAGATTCTACCTATATACCCAATGTTTTGGGCTTAAGATCCAGGCCGACACTCATATCTTGTTGCGTTGTTATCAGGCGTTGCGGGGATCTGAGTATATGCCCATAAGAAGGTTGCCGCGCTGCAATCCCTGTGATAGTATTAGCCCCAGCTGCTAGTAGTATTAGCCCCTGCTACAAAACACGCTGGACCCGGACTCATGTGATGGGTTTCTTCTAACAGGATACCTTGCCAGTTGCAGGTTATCCAGTCCCTGGCCTGAAAGTAGTTGCATCCAATCCTCCCACGTACATACCATAGAAGCCAGCCAAGTATGTTCTCACATTACAGATAATCCCTATAGCCCCGTGTTGCGGGCAAAGAACCTTCCTTGCGAAGGCACAGGCTTCTCTCTCCATCCACGTCTTCCGCTGCCCAGATGAGCTTCCAAAGGCTTCCGAGGACGCTCCTGCAGCCGGCCCTGTGTAGTAGTGTAGGGCTCCAAGATGACCAGCAGCATGCTCTTCTGTATAAGCATGCTACATTTCTACAAATAGATAGATAGATACATAGATAGATGGGTGGGTGCACAAATGTATGCACGCGGAAACCTTATCCCGTAGTTCGGTTTTGACGGCTATAAAGCACCACTTGAAAGCCATTCCGGAAGTCATCACAGTTCGAATGAGCGGGCCTTTAAAGTACCAGCAGGAGAAGGCTTCTTGTGCATGGAAGCGTTGTGTTCACATGCTGGGGATTCTGAGAACTAGACCCTCGCAAGCGCACAGGTCGTCTGACACAGGCTATGAAGATTCAAGCCAGCACGTTTCCAAGAACCATTGCAGGTCGGTAGCTACGAGGTGGTTACGTTACCCCTATGTAAGGCTCATGATAATGCTCGTGTGAGGACACGGGGCCATGCCAGATGTTTTGCTATGAATGAGTCCCCATTGCGGGATGGGAGTCAGCTACTCGCATGACCCAATTCATCCTACTTATGTTTTCCTGGTGAGGAGATGTTTGGCATCATCGACTGGGCTGCGGAGGAGCGTTTTGCCTTGGAACAGGCAGAGGCCACCCCCTGGCTTGCTAGTTTTAAGTGTCTGTCGTCGAGTGGGGGGGGGTTCGAATTATCAAGAATTCCGGAGTTTCCGGATTCCTTGCAGAACGGTTCTTCTTGAAATCGTAAGAGGTGCCCAACTGCAAAACCGCGAAGCCACTTGATTCATCTACTATGCCGCAGTAGGAGCAGCACAAGCAGGTAGCGTTGGACATCGTATGCGACATAGTCGTTGCAGTCGCATCAAGTAGTAGCACTGGAGCTGATAGTTCTACTAGCACATACTAGCACTAGCATTTTTGTATCAGGACTTGTAGGTGCACCACTGGCAGCAGCAACAGCAGAAGCAGCAGCAGCAGCAGCAGCAGCAGGAGGAGGAGGAGGAGGAGTAGCACCACCACCACCGCCGCCGCCGCCGCCGCCGCCGCGACGCTACTATTACTATTTCTACTACCCCTACGACGAGCATGCTGCGTCGGGAGCCACTTTCTTCCCGGAGGTAGAGGTGACGCAACTTGAGAACGGCAAGCAGCCGCTGCTACTTTCCCACGCAGCAGAGGACCAGCGCTGTAGGAACCCTAGGGTATTTTATAGGGGTTGTATAGGGCTTTTATAGGGATAATGGAAAAGAGAATGGAAGCTACTATATTATAATAGGGTACTATATAGGGGTTAATCTCAGGATAATGGAAAAGAGAATGGAAGCTAGTATCATAAGGTAACTTGCTCCTGTTAGGCTTTTCCATGCAGTATTTCTTGTCAGAGCTATCGTGGTGCGAAGCACGGGTATGATCCTGAATCCTTTTTGCATTCTGATTGCTCACTCTTGCCTATGTGGTCCTGCTTGGCAGAGCGATTGGGATTATTGCAGGGAGTTGTTGCTAGAGCGCTTCATGCAGGTAACTAGCAGGCATCTCCTGGAGATCTGCCAGTATTTCAGGGTTGCAGGTGTCCATTCTCCTTGTACATGTGAATCAAACCAGAAAATGGGACTTTTCCAGAACTGGGGACCCGATATATGTCCCAAAGCTCTACCATCCTTGTTAAAGGGGCTCCCGAAAGGGCACCCCTCCAAATTTTTGAATCCATCTAAACCCTAAACCCTCCCAAGAATTGAATCCCCTAAGTAGGCCTTGAATGCTTGCCGGAAAGGATCGGTTTGAAGCAAAAGGTTTGGCAGAAGGCTGCGTAGCTGTGCTGCTTGGCCAATTTCGTGGATGGTTTGGGGGTGTCAGTTCTGCGCTCCATATGGGTGGTTGTCAAAATTATGGTCCCTTTTTGGGTACCCTAAATATAAGGTGCCGTACTATAATAGGGACCCAAAAAGGGACCATAATTTTGACAACCACCCATATGCTGGTTTATTGGGTTGCTCAGGAGCCTGAATGAAGTTGCTATAACAAAGAAATCGTCTCACCCACTAGATGTCCAACTGTGGTATGATTTTCCAAACAGCAACCCTGTTTAGGACATTTTGTGTACCGCCCCCACTCTGTAACAGTTGGATAATGTATTCCAGATAGTTATATAGCCCTAATATGACTGTTAATGGGTGGGGCCAGTACCCAAGGCATGGTAGGTTTTGCAGAATATGCTGTGGTGGCGTTCCTATCAGCTGCAGGGTGCCATCATGATTTGGTGGTTTCCCAAAACGAGGGGTACCTTGTTTTGCGGGGTCCCTATAGCAAATCGTAGTTTGGGGTCCCTATTGGGGTGGGAAGGTACTATCTGGCTTTCTCTTGCCCCTTGTCATTTGAGGTGTTCAGCTGTTCGAGTCCACAGCAAACGGGTGCCTCAAATGGTGAATAGGGGCTGCCTAACCATGCTAAGTATCCTCAGAACTGGAAAGGGAAGACAAGCATCGTCAAGTCCAGCCCAGAAAATCCACTGAAGACCAACCGAATCATAATTCCGCACCCCACAGCGCAAAGACTTCAGAAAGAGCAGCTGGTATCATTGCCAGGAAACCTGGTTACACTCAAGCCCTGCGGCCTGAATCCATGATCCTTGTTTGGAGCGTCACCTAGGTCCTAGGTTTAGTAAGCAACACTATAACACCCAGTGTCGGGCCTAGTCCTCCCGACTATCAGACACAAACTCACTTCGACCTCCTATATGCAGCAAGGAAAGTCAAGTGCGGAGGGTACGAGACAGAGGCCCGACGAAGGGAAGCAGTGCCATGGGGTCACTCTCATAACCTGTCCCCAAGACATTAGCCCCCATAGCCCCAAGAGAGAACGGTCGCCAGTATATTGGGGGGGGGGACGGTTCATGCTACAGAGTTTAGGAACCACACAGTGATTTGGAATAGAATCCGGATGCAGTACCTTTTCGGCTGGTTTTCTGGATGATGGGAACTCCTTCGCCGCACCAGCATGGGCTCACGCTAGGCTTCATCTGAAGGGCTTTATCTTAGATTGCAACTGTGGGGAAAAACATATCGTTTACTATCTATCCATGTTACAGCGGCTTCATGTTGAAATCTTGAACGGCAACCCAGTCAAGCACCTTGATAGGGAACTATCTCTCTGCTTTTCCTGCAGCCACCACGGTGCAGATCTTCCCACTCCTCAGAGGCCGAAGATTACATTACCGGTTCTTAGAAGGGAATAAGGGAATATAATCCCTGTGTACGTATATTCCCTTATCCCCTACGAAGCGCTAGTAAGTTGATGCAGGAGAGGACGATGATGTTGCTGGTCGGGCCGCACCTTGGATCCTGCTGAGCATGGGAAGTTTGGGGTTAGGGTTTAGGGCATGGGTGGCCGAGAGCCTTTGAAGACTAATTCCTTCTGAGCAGGTTGTGTCTCATGGTGGAGAAGTCTAGCTTGCGGAGCATAGGTTGGATTTGCATGGAGAGCATGTCGTGGCAATGTCAGAACGGTGCGTGCCAAGCTCTCTGCAACCCTGTGGATTTCCCAGCTCATTCCTGAGCGCTGAAAGCGGACAGAGCACACTTTCATACTGATTGTCCATTCCTGTTAACACGAGCTAAGGAACCATTTCTTCTTCCCCATGACAGCCAGCTGCCGATTTGCTTCCTAATCTCTTTAGAGGCTGGTGTTGAGACCTGTGGTCCTTGTAATTCCCAGTTCATTGAAATGGGGTTGAGTTGTAACTCATCAGGTCAAGATGTTCAATAAGAAGTATATCATTTGGGATTGCCTTTCCTTATTCTGGCGGTCTCCCTCGCGACTGCTGGTTGACATTTGCGCTGGAGCACCAGTGAATCAAGTCTTCCATAGTTTTTGCTGGAAAAAGTGCTTGCACGTTCACTGCCTTATTCCCTTTTCGTGCATGATTTGCATGCGCTCTTAGAGGTTCAATGTTTAAAGAGCTCTAGCGTCCTACTAATCTTGACTTTCTGCATCTATGCTTGCATTTATCATGCACGTCTATGGGTGTCAAACGCGGGGGCTCTGGGGCCCATAGGTTAGCACAAGGACCGTGAAAATTTAATGGGCGTCACCCTGATGGACGCATTTGCATTTGAGATTTGTGTAAACATACGACCACTCAATTACTTGAACCCTCTTGGCCCTGAGAAGTGTTTACTTCATGCTGCACTTTGGGCGCTTTCATTTTGTTGTGTCACTTCTTGGAGAGCACATCGGGACAAAAGAGATGGTTGCAGCGTTTGCTTCAGATCGTGGAAGTAGAGGTGCAAGCTTTGTGGGGAAGTTTGCCGACAAGCTGGGCATTGATTGACATGGTTCCACCCAGTGGCTGTGTGAGTGTGACGCCAGAGGATCCTGTCGTGTAGGCAGGGACTTCAGCCCACTCCCTACGTGAAGACAAGATGGGGCGGATGAAAGAAGACATGCGAAGCTCGACGCACACAATGTACCACCCAACAGACCTAACACCCACGGTCTGTAACTGAACCATCTCAATCCCTGAGAGGCCACAGTTCCACAGCTTCAACCGATACCCGTTTTTATCAAACATAGCCAGGCGGTTCTTCGGAGCCATGCCCCATCTGAGCCGAATCTTTAGCCCCGCAAAAGATGAAGGGCTTCATAGTCTTTTGGACGACAAGGCTACAAGTCATTTTTGGGTTTTAGAGGGGTTCTGCTGTTGTTGTCTTGACAGCAGTTACTCGAGCGGGAGGGTGGTCTCACCGTTTGCCAGCCGAATCGCACGGTCGCTGGAACCTGACCCGCGCCAGTTAGCTGATCATGATGGCTCTTGTTAGATATTAAGCTGCGGTTATGGCCGCAGGCGTAGTGATTAGTAGTGGTGGTGTCGGCATTCGTTGCATCATGTGTAGCAGCAGTAGGCAGGAGTAGTACCGGAGAATTTGGAAGTGGAGTAGGATTAGGACCTAGGACCTAGGAGCAGTAGCAACACTAACAGCACCAGGAGCAGCTGTAGGACGCTTTAGGAACATTCCAAAAAGCATTGCCCTGAATATCACATACATTTGCAGGCTGATGTGCGAACATCTGGTTCTGCAAGATGAGTGTTTAGATTGATTCGGAATGTATTTCACCTCCCAACACAACTACTGTAGAGGGAGCAAGCTATAAGATCCCGGCATTCCTTGGCAATCCTGCAGCTGACTGCATTCAACTTCATGTCATCGTTCTTTCGACTGCATTCTCTCCTGCTTACGAAGATGCACACCATGCAGCCGCGGTGAAGGATTACTGCGGCCTCGCGCAGCAAATTCACGCTCTGAAATTTAGGGCGTGTTTGTGAGTGAGCTGTCCTTGGCAAGCAACATCATAGAACTTGACATATATGGACACATGTTGCATCCTGAGCCACGTTCTTACTGAGGTTCCTAGGGTTTGCAAACATGGTTGGGCGGTGTGTACGAGAAAGAGGGCGTAAGAGGCAACAGACCATCTTGAGGCCCTGGAGAACTGTATGCAGTATTCGTAGTATATTATGGTATATTATAGTATATTATAGTAGATTGTAGTATACGATAGTAGATTGTAATACATGATAGTATATTCTAGTCATTATAGTTCCTAGCTATAAATTACCGCGTGCTTCTCAGCTTCTCAAGGAGCCAAATTGCTCGGCCAGCTTGCCCCTGCAGAAGTCTCACAAGCTGTATCGAGGGATGCTGGCATGGAAAAGGACACTGCCAGAGCTGAGGGGGAGGGGAGATTCCTAGGTAGGCAAAGGCAGAAGGATAGGCAATATATAATATACTGCATAGGCTTGGCTACTTTGGCAAAGTTGCCTGCCTCGAGTCCTGTCAATATACTAGCTGTGTCAACTGAATTACAGTGAATTCCCAATATTACCCCAATATTACCCCAATATAGACCCTATATAACCCCTATATAACCCCTTTGCTTTAGAGTTGCTGGGCATGTGTGGCGAAGAAGCACCTGTAAGCCAAAGTGCCAGCCAAGCATAGGCTGGTCAGTTTTGGACCATAGCACTTCCAGGAAGACCTACAGTACCTCAGTACCTGCAGCCATGGAACAACTTAGGGTTTAGGGTTTAGGGTACTACTCTACCAGTAGGAAGGGTTGTAGTCATAGCAGGGAATCTTGGTCGAGAGCTCCTTTGCTAAGGTTTCGCAGCCGCAGGGCTGCGCGTGCGGATCTCGGTGCTGGGCAATTTGTTCGGATATTTCCGAGTACTCTCTGAGTACGGATGAAGCTCCTTGGGTGCGTTCGTTCCATACCCGATCCATGGAATATAGATCATCGAGCCCTTTTCCGTTCCATGGCCTTGTTTCATGACATCATGATGAGACCTACAGTCGACTGTATCGAGCAAGGGCGCCATCATCCTGATTCATTATCTCCACAAGCTGGTTGGTCATGCTGGGGCAAAGGGAAAGGATGCCACAACCACATTTAGACTTGAGGCCATGTGCGAGCTCTGTGCGCCCAAGTGGCAAGTGGGAGGAAGACTTCTTCCTCATTTTTCCAAGCCCATCCTTTGCAAGTCTCATGGGCGCAGTAGACGAAGCAGCCAAGGCCCGTCCCGAAAAAGAAGAAGGCCCGCGCGAGACTGTGCTTTGTGGAGTAGCAGCTGCGTGGGGTGCTGGGAAAGGCTTGCGAGTAAGAGGTTGGTGAGGGTTGTCAAATTTTCTGACGGATGGCATTATCAGAGCGAGAAGAGGGGACCCTGATTTCTACTTGCGATGGCGGCAGAATCCTTGCGCGGCCCTTATGGGGCCTCAGGGGAAGTCAGTAGGAAAAGCATGGCGAATATCCGTGAGGCTTGTGAATAATTTGTTTTTTCGGGGGAGTGATCATTTTCTTGGTGCAATGGCGGGCTCTAGGTTCTGCGCGAGCTGGCAGGACAAGAAGGACAAAAAAGACAAGAAGAAAAAAGAGAAGCCGCATCCTGATTTTGAGGTCAAGGGTTTGAAGGGGGTTTGGGGACCTATACGGTAGGGTTTAGCCGGCATGTGAGCCCGAAATCGCTTATCAAATCAAGAAGCCGTCGCATTTCTTGTTGGCAGCAGGGATCGTAGCTATCCATGCTGGATCCGAGGAAAAAGAAGGACAAGAAGAAAAAGGAAAAGAAGAAGAGCCACTCAGCTGCACTCACGCTTTCGGGCACGTCGCCACGGGCAGGCCTGCAGGCACAGCTGTAGGATTTTGGCATAGGTTCCCACCTGCAGCCACGGTCCAAGCTTTGAGGGTTGAAGAAGGGCTTCCGGCATTATACCTGCAGAAGCGGATTCGCATCAAGAGTTTAGGCTCAAGCTCACTTGTGCGTTGGTTTCTGTGAGAGCCCGAGGCAAAAAAAAGAAGGACAAGAAGAAGAGTTCTTCGTGTTGAGCTCAGCGGTACGTCAGACAATGCCAAACGTCTTTTTATCCGGCAACTGTTCTAAACTTGATGCCGCTGTCTTGCCGTTTCCAAATCTATGTTGACCCCGCGGCTCCAGGATCAGAGGTGGCTTCAATTTGTACGTGATCATATTCGCTCTTGCAATTGCCATTATGGTGCCCCAAAACATTGTTCCAGCCGTCGAGTCGCCTAAATTGTGTTGAAACTTGCCGGCAAGGTATGATGAGAATATCTGTAGTTATCATCGACCAACACCACATCCAAAATCCGTGGCAAACACGGCATGATCTGAACTTATGTGACCATGCACGTGGGCGCGACCACTACCTGAAATTCGGCATGACAGCTCATTGTGGTGGTTTAGGTTCCTAGGCCAACAAGTCAAGTCAAACCCTCGCCATCAGGCCTGTCTACCTTACTCCTGGTTTAGGGTTTAAGGCTAGAAAGCCTGTTGCAAAAGGGCTTAGATAGGTTTAGGGTTTAATCCTGAGTCCCAACCAGGGAAAGTCTACCTCAACTCAACGACACCTCAGAAAAGGAAACTCCTTCTATGGCACCAAGGTTGCTGATTCCGTTCTTGCAGCTTCTAAATATTGTAGCTCTCTTGGTAGTCGTGGTTACCATGCCCAAGATGGCTTTCCTCCACCTGATCCCCAGAGAAGTTTTGGGAAAGTGCTGCTCAGGTCATCTTCGCCTCTTGTCCGCAAAGCTTTTCTAGTAGGAGAAGAAGCTATTCACTACAACATGTGATGGTGCAAGAGTTGAAGATGCATTCTGGGAGGGGGGTGGGGTAACAGCCGAGTGCTGGATGCGACAGCCACGTTTTGACAGTATGTCTCGCGCGACGTTTCCACTAGGATGTTGACAAGTTAGCAAGAGGATCAACCGTCAGGCAACAAGTCCTGCAGTTATCAGTGTTAGCTCGTGGTGCAAAAGCATCCTAGGTATTGCGGTTTTGGTAGCCAGTAGAAAGGGAGCCTATCAACATAGCTGGTATAAACCTGGGGAGCAGCCCGTAAAACCTGTATAAAAACCCATATTATAGATCGTTTGAGGCTCCCAATTTTGAGGCTCAGATCACGTCTACATTTGAAAGCTTCTTCTTTTGCTGAGGTCCTCATCCAGCTCTTCGAGTTCTGGGTCAGGCAGGTATGGACTCAGGGTTTTGGGTTTTGGGATGTTTTGTTTTCAAAGCCTGTAAGGCTCCCACTGTTTTCTGGGAGACCTAATGCTTCAGGATGGAAAAGCATCATTTGAGAAATGTGGATATGTTCGAAAATGAGGCTCCCCTGTATATACCCTAAAGTAATTGCATTTTCGTTATAGGGACCTGTAAAGGTACCTTCAGAAATAATCACTCTTGGAAAACTTCGCGTGTGCTTGTTTAGTTTTGGGGGAAGCTAAGCAGGGATACAATGTGAGGCGCAGACTGCAAGCTATGTCGTTCAGGTGGAGAAGAAAACTCATGTGGGCGTTTTCGAAGGGTCCTTTCCTGAAGGTTCTCAAATGATTATAAGAACAAGGACACCTAGATATTGGGGGTCTACATGGGGACCCCGTATTTGTGGAAGGAAAGAAATCTTCATATGGCATGGAAAGCCACGACAGCCTTGATTTCGCTGCCGTAACTTTCTCGCTGTCAGGAAGCCCTGCCGCAAAAAAGAAGAAAAGCTGAGCAGCAGCAATGAAAAAATACAAATCTAGCCCATCTATCCCCATGATGCTTCTGAGGCACATGTAAGAAGCTTCAATCAAGTAATTACTTTGTTCTCCTAAACCCTAAGCCCTAAAATGCTCATGCTGAGCCTAGAACTTTCACAGATGTCGTTGTGGGGTCGCTGGCTGCCGCTGCTTTTCAGTTGCGGATAGTATTCTTATGAATTCTTGAGTATCAGTGTAGGAGTGGGTCTCCATAGCAAAGTCCAGTGTTGCGAAACTACATGCGGGATTTAAGCAGGAAGAAGTGAAGAGTGTCCGAATTGAGGGGAAGACTCCCCTAACCACCAGATCCACTCAATTCACTGCTGCTTAAGCACGTGCTTAAGCACATGGTAGTTTCCCTGAATAGGGGAACCTTAATATAATATACTCCTTATTATTGGGACCCCCAAAAAGGGTACCTTTAATTTTGGGAAACTCCCACATCAAAAAATCTAGTCTAGCAGACACCACTCGCTGGGAAAAGCCTGCCGAGAGAAGACGTAAAGGCGTGGCACCAGATGCTTTGAATCTGCCGCGAAAATGGGACGTCCTGTTGCTGGTAAGGTAGGCCTTTCTCAGCCAGATTGCAAAGCATTCAGATTTCGGCATTCGAGCCTGTCCCGATAGGTATGAGTATCACAGCTGTAGGTGCCGTTTGGCACCTAGTCTCGATTTAATGTTCCATGTTCTTTTCCATTTGCTTCTCCATTATTGAGAGTAATAACCCTATAGGATGCCTAGATCAGTGTCTTTCAAGGACCCATCCTCTGCCAGAGGGTTGTTCTGCTTTTGTTTCTTCTGATGCTGCCTGGGCTTTTTCTGCAGTTCTCAAGGTCAACTCTTCGTTATGAGTTAGAATTTATTAGCGGCACTGTTACATGTACTTGGGCTTGCGTAGCAGCACCAGGTTTAGGGTTTAAGGGTGGCAAGACCACCAGGCTCTCCAGGGTTTCAGTCGCAGCAGTCATGCAGGAATTTATTCGTCAACAGTAGAGAGAGGCGTCTCAGTACCCGCGGGCGGCACTTCAGAAGCGGGCTCCTGAACACCTATTTCTAAATATGTTGGCTTCATTTTGAAGCACTCGCCCTTATAAACCCAGTTTCCATTGTATTTTCCATGTTCTTCTCCAGTTGGTTATCCACTATTCAATCTCCAACTATATCGTGGTTCCCGGAGCGCTCGTAGTTTCTTGACGGTTCGCTTGCAGCGAAGGAAAAACATCATCATGTTGCCATGGCTGCCAATATTTAATATCTTAGCACAAATCTGGCTTGTCCCTGAGCCCTCTTTTTTCTTGTGCCGCTTGGTGCCATGCAGGTGGCATGTTTCACATTTTTTGTTATCGTCGTGATCGTTCTTTCTTTGGAAGGTATTAGTCACTAGTCTGCAGCTCCGCAGCTACCGCAGTGTGCGTTGTTGAACGCTGCAAGCTGACTCAAAAGCAGCGACCTTCTCAGGTCGTTTAAATTAGCAATTATGGCATTCTCATGTCCCTAATGATTAGGGGCCTCAAGGGGATGAAAACAAGAACCCATTCAGTCCACAATTGAGCAGCAAAACCCGCCCCCAGTCACCCTGTAGCCTCCTCACACACGAGCCAGGAAACCTCTAAATTCCTGAGCCCTAGCCTAGTGATTGGTTAGTGGTCTGCATTTCAATTTCTCCGGCAGCCCGATCAGAGGCGGGGACGGCCAGCTTTGAGGGGTTCGGGCTTAGGTTTGGGGTTAGGGTTTACGAGGCGATGCAAGCAGAATAAGGCATGTCTCAAAGATTTCAGGCTCTTGTGGGCTCCCTGCACAAAGGTCCAAGACCTTCGGGGCTGTATACCACGACCTTTGGACCCGTGTACATGGGGAGCTACGAAGTTAGGAATGCGACCCGGGTGCTTGGTGAGTTAGATGTGGGGGCTTCAAAGTAGGAGGAGTTCTCAGCATGTTTGCAAGCCGTAGCACTGTGAACATGCAGCCAGGTAGAACATGGATTGTATGGGGATCTTCTGTTAATTTTGGGGGGAATTCCATATCTTCTATCTACTGAAGGGTGACTATTTTCATCAAAGAGTTTTTCCCCAGAGTTTGGGCTCTTGACGTGTGTCCCTGACCAGATGCAGGTGTCATGTACATCGGGCCATGGCAAGAGTACAAGCCCCGCGCCCAAATTTTGAGCCAGTTTATTTTAGAGGTTAGGGTTTAGGGTGGGGTACCTAAATCCTAAACCGCGGCTTAGGGTTTAGGGTTTAGGCCGGAGCCTCAGTCCTGGGTTAAAAAAGGGTGGGGTTGTATCTGAAAGCAATGAGTTCCTACACTGACTGTACCTAAAGAAAGGTGATGCTTCTCCCAACTACATGCAGAAGGGTGGAAACAGTTTGCAGAATATACGAATATAGTGCCATCTAGCTTCTCCTGAGACCAGATGAGCCACTCTCTAAAGTCCTACTATCCTCTTTACTGACCCCGATAGTAGTCCCATATACAACCCGCCTTGAAGGAGTTTAGACCAGATAGCTCCTAGGAATCTTGGAGCTACAGTTGTAAAGTGAGAAGAACATGGACCCCATTGTCTAAGAAGATAAATTGAATTCTAACTTCGCAGAAGATGGAGAAGAACCTGGAAAGTACTGGACCATCTAGAGTTGTGTGAAATTTGGATGACAGACCCTTTGTTTCAGCAGAGGGATGCTATGACATCGGCCCAACCGATCGTGCTGGATTTGTTTAGAGTGACCGGCACAGATTCAGAAAAGAAAGCGGGCATTCTTGTAACAATGTAAAAGCATGTAGAAGCTTAAAGCCTTGAGTTCCTTGTATGATGATTGTATAGGGTACCTGAATAGACTTCAGCATTACAGTGGTTTTGTTTGGGTAAGGCGCATGGGGTGCCGGTAAAATTTGGTAATCCTCTGGCAGTTGCATACCATAATTGCTGCTTGGACCTTTGCTTGCACTTGATCATCAGAGTCTCCATCCATCTTCGCAGCATTGAGGTGCGAATTAAAAGGTAGGAAACCGAACCGCTCCCACGATCCAGAGGGCAGCATCATGCGTCTCTTCTCGTTGCTCCTTGCGGTGGCCTCGGCGTCTTCCGTGTCCGAGTCTTCCAGTGCGGATGTTACCAATCTGCTTCAGAGGCTAAGCCCACCCCCACCACAGCAGCTTCTGTCCACAGGCTCCTTCGGCACAGATACAGCACAGGGCCAGGCCAAGAGTCAGATTCAAAACCAGGCCGAGGGCCAGGCCGAGGGCCAGAGTGAGGAGGACAAGCCAAGGCCTCACCACAACCCAGCGGAGATGGAGAAGCTTGGGTTCACCTCGGCAGATGACAAATGGAGCAATTCGCCCCTTGCCAAAGAGAGCCCGGAAAAGAAGGAAGGTAAGCCGGTGGAGATCATTGTGACCAATCAGCATGTGGAGAAGAACTCGAAGGACTCAGAGGATTCAAAGGACGCAGCTGCTTCAAAGAAGCAGGAGAAGGCCGCAAGCAAAAAGGCAGAGAAGAAGGAGAAAGCCGCAAGCAAAGAGAAGGCAGAGAAGAAAGCTGCAAGCAAAGAGAAGAAGGCAGAGAAGAAGGAGAAAGCTGCAAGCAAAGAGAAGAAGGCAGAGAAGAAGGAGAAAGCTGCAAGCAAAGACAAGGCAGAGAAGATTGCATCAAAGTCTGCGAAGTCATCCAGCTCCGCAAAGTCCAAGAAAGCTGAGAAAGCCGCGGAGAGCAAGACCAAAAGCACTTCGTCCAAGAAGAAGACAGCCGACAAGTCAGAATCTCAAGCGAAAGAAGACAAGAAGGTGAAGAAGTCCAAGCAGGCAAAGGAGGATAAGGAGGAGAAGGAGGAAGAGGAGGAAGAGGCGGAGGCTTCAGAGGCCGAAACTTATTGCTACTGTGATTAGGGTTGCTACTGTGCATGTTCTTGTTGCTGCTTTCCAACCTATTCTGGGGAGAGTTCTGACACCTCAACGGTGATTCGCCCTGCGATCAATGCTTTGCCCGCCCTGCCACGAACAGCAAAACTCTCATGCTCCTGATAGAATGTCAAATATTACCCTGATTCCATGCGTGCATGTTCCAGGGCATATTTCGTAAAGAGGGAGGGGATGAGATGAGTTGTCATTCTTGTGCCGTGTCTGTCCAGGAGACTGCCAAAGAGACCAAAAAATCAAAGTCCTCCGCGTCCAAGAAGGTTTTGGTGAAGACGGCTTCAAGAGTGGAGGAAGCTCCAGTGGAGACGGAATCGAAGGATGAGAAGACAGCGGAAACCAAAGTTGAGGAAGCCCCGGAGCAACTTCAGGCTGCTGCCAACAAGGAGGCTTGCGAAAATTGGATGAAGGAGTGCCGCACCGACTTCAACGTGGATGCCTGCATGAGCTACAAGGGCTTCTGCCTGCACTCCGAGACTGCAGACGCTGACACGAAAGGTCTGCTTGATGGCCTCGCAGGACCAGACCCCGAAGCTGTTGCAGATCCGACTGAGGAGCTTTCCGAGAAGGCGACGGATGTGCTGAAGCCTGCGGCTGAGAGTGCCGAGGCTGACCCAGCCGACGGCTCGGAGGACCGTGACGTCGAGGAGGCCGAGGCCGCTACGGGGGAAATCAGAGGCGAGATCAGCAAGGCTGGAGATGGAGAAGCTGGCGTCGGCACCGACAAGGAGCCAAAGACTTTGCCAGAAGCTCCGGCCTCAAGCGAGGAGTCCGTGGAAGGCGAAGAGGCAACGGAAGAAGTCCCGACCGAGGCCGAGGAGGCCGAGAAGATCGCCGAGAAGGCTGAGGAAGCACCGGCCGAAGCGGAGGCTGAAGAGACCGAGGAGAGCCCAAATTCATCCCAATTCAGTATTACTGTTCTGAAAGGAAAGGAAGTCAGCGGTCAGCAGCACTTGACCTAGTGCACGTACGTGGAAACTGTTTGACTGTTCTTTTGGGCATTGGCTGGTGCTTCGCTCTTGGTTTTTGCTCCTCCCGGGTTGCCCTGCTGCTACTCCTGCTGAAGCCACCACGCCAGTACCACGCCCACTACGACCGCCACCACCACGCCAGCATTTGCGCAACTTCCATCACTGCACCAGCACCAGCGCCACCGCCACAAGTGCTGCAACGAATGCAGATTGCAACCACATGTCATGGACGCAGTTCCAGAAGTCAGTCAGTATTTCATGTTGCGACCTTGTGCTGCGTCGAGCTAACTGTAGACCAGATGGCGTAAACCGTGTGCCCCTACCTTGGTTACTCCCCATTTAATTGCTGCCAGATAAGCCTTCCTACCGTATTTGCTCCCTTCAAAATGAACAAGGCTTCTGGTAGTTCAGAAGTCTTATCAGCTGAAAGCTGTTGCCTGCTTCAGCTATGGTGTTGATAATGCTTCAGGCGCCTATTGAAAGTCTAAAGGCTCCCATCGTTTGTTCCTTTGCGACTCCAAACCCTGTACACCCAATTCCCAGTCTAAGCTCGAGATCCTCATCACTGGGGCCCAAACTTGAAAACCCCAAGTAAAACCAAAGTCGTTTACCCGTTTCATCCCTAAACCTGGGTTGCTGTTAAG